TGTACAGGGTTAGACACAACACAAGTAATAATGTACAGTGTTCTCAAGCTTTACTTGTACAGGGTTAGACACAACACAAGTAATAATGTACAGTGTTCTCAAGCTTTACTTGTACAGGGTTAGACACAACACAAGTAATAATGTACAGTGTTCACAAGCTTTACTTGTACAGGGTTAGACACAACACAAGTAATAATGTACAGTGTTCTCAAGCTTTACTTGTACAGGGTTAGACACAACACAAGTAATAATGTACAGTGTTCTCAAGCTTTACCTGTACAGGGTTAGACACAACACAAGTAATAATGTACAGTGTTCCCAAGCTTTACTTGTACAGGGTTAGACACAACACAAGTAATAATGCACAGTGTTCTCAAGCTTTACTTGTACAGGGTTAAACACAACACAAGTAATAATGTACAGTGTTCACAAGCTTTACTTGTACAGGGTTAGACACAACACAAGTAACACCAAATGAAGATAAGTAGAAATTGCTAACTTGTCATCCACACAGAAAACAAATGAAAAATTCTGAACAGGAGCTACAGATAGGGGCAGTCAGTTTATATTTAGATACCTGCAAAATTCTGAAATAATTTTCTGTAAGCTCCAAACCGATTTCTCTGTAACCATTCGGATGTTTGTAGTATAGTAGCATCCGGTGACAGTGGCTGTAAAAAATAATACTCAGACTTTACAAAGGTAGTTGATAACAGGGGGTTGATTGCTAAGAAACTGTGGTTGCTGAAAAGTAGTGATTGCTATAAATTAGTTGCTAAAAGTTGATTGCTAAGAAGTAGTTACTAATGAAAGGAATGTAAATGCTGGGGTGGTTGCTAAGAGAAGGTGGTTGCTAAAAAAACAAGACATGAATGTCACAGTCTCCGCTATTTGATTATAAAGTAGTACAAGGAACATCTGCAAACAGGTGAATGAATTTGTACTCTATGTGGGTACAACTCATCATAAAGTGATTTCCCATAATCTAGTTTTGTACTGACAACTAAAAACTTCCACTGACCCATGTTCAGAATCTCAGAGTACACAAGTGCAACAAAACTATTTGTCATACATGTATACTAAAAAAACTGTATTCATAAATCTGAGTGAACCTTGATGTACATGACTCCTTTGTTAATTAAGGTCTTAGTATATTACCAGGACCTGGGTCAAATCAAAGATAAAATAACTGCATTGTTTTAATTTGCATATTTTTGGAAGGGCGTGGTCATTATTGCCAAAGGCACATCTACTCGTGCCAAGGTGTAATCATACCAAATAAGAATAAAATGGACACAGTGGTGGTAGAGATAGCAGCAAATAACTGCATTGATCTAATTTGCATATTTTTGGGAGGGTGTGGTCATTACTGTCAGAAGCACATCTACTCGTGCCAAGGTGTGTAATCATACCAAATATGAATAAAATCGACATGGTGGTGGTAGAGATAGCAGCAAATAAGTGCATTGATCTAATTTGCATATTTTTGGGAGGGTGTGGTCATTACTGTCAGAAGCACATCTACTTGTGCCAAGGTGTAATCATACCAAATATGAATAAAATCGACATGGTGGTGGTAGAGATAGCAGCAAATAACTGACTTGATCTAATTTGCATATTTTTGGGAGGGCGTGGTCATTACTGTCAGAAGCACATCTACTCGTGTCAAGGTGTAATCCTACCAAGTATGAACAAAATTGGCCCAATGGTTGCTGGGATAAGAGCAAATAACTGCATTGATCTAATTTGCATATTTTTGGGAGGGCGTGGTCATTACTACCAAAAGCACATCTACTCATTTCAAGGTGTGATCCTACCATATATGAACTAAATTGGCCCAATGGTTGCTGGGATACGAGCAAATAACTGCATTGATCTAATTTGCATATTTTTGGGAGGGTGTGGTCATTACTGCCAAAAGCACATTTACTCATTTCAAGGTGTGATCCTACCACATATGAACAAAATTGGCCAAATGGTTGCTGGGATAAGAGCAAATAACTGCATTGATCTAATTTGCATATTTGATGGAGGGCGTGGTCATTACTGCCAAAAGCATATCTACTCATTTCAAGGTGTGATCCTACCACATATGAACTAAATTGGCCCAATGGTTGCTGGGATAAGAGCAAATAACTGCATTGATCTAATTTGCATATTTTTGGGAGGGTGTGGTCATTATTGCCAAAGGCACATCTACTCGTGTCAAGGTGTAATACTACCAAGTATGAATAAAATTGTCCAATGGTTCCTGGGATAAAAGCAAATAACTGCATTGATCTAATTTGCATATTTTTGGGAGGGTGTGGTCATTATTGCCAAAAGTACATTTACTCGTGCTAAGGTATAATCCTACCAAATATGAATAAAATCAACACGGTGGTGGTAGAGATAGCAGCAAATAACTGCATTGATCTAATTTGCATATTTTTTCGGGAGGGCGTGGTCATTACTGTCAAAAGCACATCTACTCATTTCAAGGTGTGATCCTACCATATATGAACTAAATTGGCCCAATGGTTGCTGGGATACGAGCAAATAACTGCATTGATCTAATTTGCATATTTTTGGGAGGGTGTGGTCATTACTGCCAAAAGCACATCTACTCATTTTCTGCAGGTGCTACTAAAATAGCACTGCACTGCACTTTTTTGCAGGTGCTACTAAAATAGCACTGCACTGCACTTTTCTGCAGGTGCTACTAAAATAGCACTGCACTGCACTTTTCTGCAGGTGCTACTAAAATAGCACTGCACTGCACTTCTCTGCAGGTGCTACTGAAATAGCACTGCCAGATTGCCAGAGATGGTGGTTGCTGAGCAAAAGTAGGTGATCACAAAGAAGAAGTAGTTGCTTTACAAATATAATTATAAAAGATAATTATCAAGAAGTTGAGGTGGTTGCTAAACGAAAATGGTTACTAAGGGTTACTATAAATGGTTGCTTTGAAGTGCTTTCTAAGGGTTACTATAAATGGTTGCTTTGAAGTGCTTTCTAAGGGTTACTATAAATGGTTGCTTTGAAGTGCTTTCTAAGGGTTACTATAAATGTGATTTGCTAAATGAGGGTGGTTGTTTTGCAATGCTGGTTGCTAAGCGGTGGCGTTTGCACTAGAAAGGCTGTTGCTAAGGTTACAACAACCTACATAGTCACACAAAAAACTTCAAGGAGTCTTACCTCTGTTAGACCACCAGAATCCACATCATCAACAACAACAACAGATGCATCTACCGCCTTTGGAGTACTTGCAGTACTTCCTACACTATACAAATGAAAAAAATATAATATTAGTATTTTTTTTTACAAATTTGTGATTGAATCAAGATTTAATTATTATTACATGTATGCTATTTGCATACAATATTCACATTTGACAACACCTGTGTATAATCAGAAAAAATCAACAAACCTTGCGTCATATGATGAATTAAAACTATCTGTTGGGTCGTATCGCGGCGATTCTGCCAATGGCGGTTGCAGAGAACACTAATGAGAAACAGACAAAAGTCAGTACATAACATGTACAATGCAGTATACCACCACGAACTGACTGTCTTCCCACAAGACCACCATATACAAACTGTAATATACACAGAACTGGAGGGGTACACAAACGGTATATGGAAGAGGTTTGGTCCAGGATACACAGAGATAGAAAGCAGCTTCAAAAAACTGATTGGTCTTGTTCCTTACAATAAATATTACAGGATAGGGATTACTGTATGATAGACAACATACAAATTGAGAAATGCATACACAATGTTGTAATGATTTAAATGTATACTCACAAGGGACTTATCAGAAGCAGGGTAGTCGCTTTCATTCTAGGACAATTAAAATACAAAAATAAACGAATAATGCTCTGTCCTAGAACCTTCTCATCCCGATGCAAGAAAACATATTCCTTGCATTATTTCATTTTTTCACTTACCATTGTCCCTTGGCACCATCTAGTATTAGTGCATTAACGAAAGAGCTGAATTCACATAAAGAATATTTTTAGCTGAACTGGAGGACATGTTTATTTTATAAAACCAAGGCAATGATTATTTACTTTTATTACCGTATTTCCTAAGGTATAAATAAGCCCCTCCCTGGGTAATAAGGCCCTTGCTTCTGACGAATCCCAGTCTATTTCCACACATACTGTACATTATTTGCACATGTGATCAAATTACTTGTTATCAGCTGTGCACAGCCCCAAAACATAAAATATGTTAGATAAGCAGGGCTATAGTGGGACAATGGCAGGGCAATGGCAGGGCAATAGTGGGACAATGGCAGGGCAATGGCAGGGCAATAGTGGGACAATGGCAGGGCAATGGCAGGGCAATAGTGGGACAATGGCAGCGCAATGGCAGCGCAATGGCAGGGCAATAGCAGGGCAATAGCAGAGCGATGGCGAGGTCTGTTTGGGTGTTTAAATGCAAGATTGGATTGTTCAAATTTAAAAATTTTGGAACATATTAATTAATATTAATGGGCAATGGGGTTCCCGACCTAAATTCCATCCAATTTTTGGATTCAATGTGAAAATAAGGAATTTGACATAATAGCTATGCAGAGACAAATCTTAATAAATTGTCACATACCGATGTAAGAACTGTGTATTCATATGAAGGCTGGTATTTGTCACGATCACTCCTCTTCTCCATCTTTTCACGATCTGTTTTATGTTTTCTATCGGCACCTTTAGGCTATAAGACGTAATAAACAATGTTAGGTTAATGTCTCACATCACAGCAGTTACCATCACATAGTATTTGCAATTAACAGGCAGCATTATGTGCCACTGATGTATAATAATTTGTTAATAGTTTTTTTTTTTCGTAGTTCATTACCTTGAATACTTTGATTTGACAACTTCCTGAATGTATATGTGTGTCAGTGTCTCCTGAATGAAGGAGGGTATCCACCTGTATACGGAATGGTACACCTTTTTCACCACCATGCTTCTTGGCTGTGAATTCTGTACTAATGCAATGTACCTACAAATATCAAAGAAACTTTAGAATTAACTCTAATGGTATTTGAGGTATATGAAGTAGATTTAAGGAATATTCACAATTGAGTACAAATTTAAGATTAGCCTTTTAAACTAGCCTGACAGCAAAAATAGCTTTTCTGATTGAGATACACATTATGAAGTTATTCTCTAACAGAAAAATCTTAGAAATATTAAAATAACAAGTCATTGAAAATGACACAGTCCCCGTTAAATTTTTGAAAGTTCTCTTTGTGCTCGCCATATTAAAGCGAAGGGGTTGTCGCGAGCGTGTCCTTGAAACTCGAGTTCCAAGTGGCGTATACAACAGATTGTTTATTGACATCAAAACACGTGTTTCATGTAGTAGTAATATGGCCAAAAATAAAAACAGCCGTTATTCGGCCATCTTTGATCTGTAGTCCAGTGGATTTAGCCCTGAAACAGGCCGAACCGGGAAGTAAATAGTACATTAACAAGTTTGGTATCAAAAGATAGGGAATTTTTTGTAGATTTACCAAAAAAAACTGATTTTTCTTACATTTATATTTTGTAATTAATATTACTTACAGCCTACACATTATTTCATATAGATATTGCTAGTGTTTTCTATACACTTTTTATTTAGATAAACTGAAGAAACCATCCGCAAGTTATAGAACACAAATTTGCTGATCTCAGCATTTTTTTACAATTATTTTAATCCTGTCAAGTGGGCAACCAAATCTTTTGTTTTACCAGATACCAGATATAACAAAATATCTTTCCTTTATTTCTAAGCACCAGCATCTAGGAAACTAAGCACTGTTTGAACTTTTTTTTAAACACCCTGATATTTCCAAAATATAGCTGAATCCTGTTACACAAGGAAGATTGTTATGGCAAGACTTATATAAACACTTTGCTATGATTACTTCTCTTTTTCCTTTCTGTATTAATTGCTCTATTTAGAGTAATCATATTTTAATATAGTACTTGCATGACTGTCAATCATAATAAATTGCTCAGTTTGTAAATTCAATGTGACTTTTGATTATCATCACGTGATTTCCTTATATGGCAACCAGACGAACCTTAAATAGCACAAAAATATGTCGTAATTTCTTTTCTCATTGATTCTCTCCATAATCATGGGTTTTGTTCATCATATGCAAGTTTGAACATAGTGCCACCTTGCACCAAGGAACTGACATTCCTTGTTTCACACCCAGACATTTTATACAACATGTAGCTGATAATGTTGACCATAATGTCCAGGCCAATGACGGGCTGAACACGTTTCATGGTATGGGCATAATAACGACCATAACACCAGGGATATTGTGGAACAACACCATACCTAAAGTTCATGTCACATCCGAGGATATAGTTTCTATTGCAAAAGTCAATAAATATTATAAGCAGTTATCAAAGGGCATGGCCAAATTAAAGTATGCCCAGTTACCCAGTTTGATAGCAGGTGATGATACATTGAATGTGGATCTCGTGGTTGATACATCCATCTAGACCATCTTGGAATGGTTTTATGCAAATGGTACATCAAGGTCCTCATCCTGGGGTCTCATCTATAATGTTCATGCCAATTGATATGAAATCAACTAATGAAGCATGTATCTTCTCAACTATGTGCTTCATCAGTGAACAAGCCAAGAAGTATGATGTATCACCAGTGCTCACCTTCGACCAGCCTTTGTGGTGGAAATCACTGGAAATCCAACATAATGAGCCCACAAGTAGCAGTGTGAGGAATATTGTTCTCAGACTGGGTGGTCTGCATGTGCAGATGAGTTTTCTGGGTTGCATTGGACATTTGATGAGTGGATCTGGACTTGAGAAACTATTGGAGACAATTTATGCCGAGAATGCTGTTGGATATATGTTGAGTGGCAAGGCCATTTCAAGGGCTATTAGGGGTCACATTCTAGTGGAAGCAGCATTATATGCATTGCTTTTGTCAATGATGTATGACCTTCAATTACCAAGAAGATACCAGTGCTAGTGAATTAACAGATATACCCGAACACGGCGATTCCAGTAATGCAAATCAGTCACAAACAGAAGATACAACAAATGAGTTGAAAGAAGCACGGACCATCCTAGAGAGACTGCTTGCACACGAGACAGAGATAGAATCGGTTTGTTCGAAGGAAGTACTGACTCTAATACAAGAAAAAATCAACCAATTCAAGGAATCACTCGCTTTCCTTAGAACATCCATGTTATGGCTACAGTACATAGAGATAATTGAAATACTCCAGCAGTTCATTTAAGCTGTAAGAACCGGTAACTGGTCTCTCCATCTAAAAGCTTTTTCAGACATCTGGCCATAATCTTTATGCAAAGTCAGTGTACATATATCTTCAGACTATGTCAAAACTACCAGAAAGTAATGCTGATGTATTTCGATCATTCCTGAATGGATACCATGTGGTTAGGCGGGAATACTGGGCAGGTATATTGACTGATCTTGCAATTGAACAAGTGTTGATGTGGAGTGTCAAAACAAGTAGTGGGCTGACAAGGGGTAGAGGTATGTCAGAAATACAACGTACCGTTTAGCTACTATCAACACCTGTATTTGCAGACGTCAATCATGCAATGCATAAGTTCACTGGTGTTTCTTACATCCCAAGTGAGCAACACAAAGAGAGTGCAAAGACCAGGCAAATTAGAGATCATAATGACCTAATGGAGTTAGTACAGTTTCTTCGTGCAAGAAAGAACTCTTCTCTATGTAGTATAGCTACTGGAGTTGTTGCTGATGACACAGTGAATGTCGATAATGCTAGGTCTATTGGTGCTTAAAGAATAAAGTCTATGATTGGAAAAAGCGTGAGTGATTTTTCATTCACTAAAAAAGAAACAGGCTGTGTGAAAACATTAAAGCTTGATGCAGATGAAGTTGATTCCCAGTTGATATTTCAAAGACTTGTTTCCATTGCAAGGGGAATTGTATCAACAGACAAGTTGTTCAGTCTTTTCACAAATGAGCTGTGTATTCATCCACCAGCATTGTTTGCCTCTGATGGACTGATGCGGGAAGCAAACAAGCCAGCTTTAGCTGAAGCAGTCTGGAAATGTGTTGGTCCCATTACTAGTGACATGTCCATTGAGTTAAGTGTGTTATTGATGGAGGTTCACTTTTACAGAGAATTACATTGCCACTAAGCCTAGCATATAAGGGCATTAGCAAACTTTACCTTGATTACATTGACCGCAAATATGGTAAAGAATCAAACAGTTGTTTTTGATGGCTATCCAGATAGACCACAACTCATCTTAGGCATTCAATAGGGAAAATGTCTACTAGTGTTTACTTTGATTCTGACATGGTTATGAATAATGAAGAAACAACAGTTGTTTTTGATGGCTATCCAGATAGACCATCAACAAAAGACACAACTCATCTTAGGCGTTCAATAGGGAAAATGTCTACTAGTGTTTACTTTGATTCTGACATGGTTATGAATAATGAAGAAACAACAGTTGTTTTTGATGGCTATCCAGATAGACCATCAACAAAAGACACAACTCATCTTAGGCGTTCAATAGGGAAAATGTCTACTAGTGTAAACTTTGATTCTGACATGGTTATGAATAATGAAGAAACAACAGTTTCTTGCAAATGCAGCAAATAAGCAGTGGTTCATTAATATCCTGGGAACTGAACTGGAAGTAAAGGGAATCAAGATTTGAAATGCTGAAGAAGATGCAGATGTCCTTATTGTGATGACAGCTGTAGACTCTGCTGTCAATGCACCAATGGTAGTTGTAGGTGAGGACACGGACTTCTTAGTGTTGTTGATCTACCATGTCAACTTAAATAGTCACAAACTGTATTTAAAACCAGAAGCAATGCGAAATACAAAAAACGAAGTCAAAGTGTGGGACATAAAACATACCAAAGACAAACTAGGACCACTTGTTTGCAAAAACATAATATTTATACATGCTGTCTTGTGACACCACATACAGGATATATGGCTTAGGAAAGGGTCTGTCCTTGAAACAATTCCAAACCAACAAGCAGTTTCAATGTCATGCTTCAGTGTTTGACCAAGATGATGCTTCAAAAGACGACATTGTGATTATGGAGTCAGGAGAAAAAGCTTTGGTCCTTTTATATGATGGCAAGTCA